TTTTTTTTTTTTTTTTTTTTAATCCTCGGTAAGACTCTTTTGTTTCATAGCTCCGGAAAAATATCTCGTTAGAGTTTTCGGATCTACTCCATACACGTCGAAAGCAGTTGAACGGCCTTTGAGATCCAGTAGTCTCGATTCTAGTGGAGTTTTTATTCTGTTTTCTAACTCACCTGTAGTATGGTGTGGTGGAAGAAGTACTGGTGATGCGAGACAAGCATCTAGACGTCTCGCGCCCAGAAATGCACCTTTGATAACTGAAAATAACGAAGACGATGATTTTTGGAAAGAACTCGGAGGTAAGAAATGATAATTATAAATATCCTAAATTTAACACTGAATGATGAGTTATACTTGAACTTAAAATTTAATCTTTAAGGTAAAGGTACTTACGGCACAGAAGTTATTGATGATGGAGAAGAACTTGAGAAACATTTGTACCAATGTTTGACGATCAGTGACACGTTTGTCGGCGAAGAAATTCTTGGATTTGGTCAAAATAGTCTCCTTCCAGAAACGATTTGGTTATTAGATGCTGGAAACGTAATATGGATCTGGATTGGAAAGTTTTCTATTCCTAAATCGTTAAAGGAGTGTGTACATGATGCAATGATATTTTTATTCACTCACCCAACTGGTCGTGATCGAAATACAACGATTTCTGTAATTAAACAAGGTATCACAAATAACTTATCTATGTTTGAAAAAGACGAAAGCACCTCGAAGTAAAACAATTTTTTCACTTTTTAGGAATGGAACCTTCGACGTTTATTGGACTATTCGATAATTGGAACTATAATTTATTGAGAGAATACAAATCATTTGAAACATTTTGCACGCGTGTGCAAGATAAGGAATTCCTACCGAAAATACAAACGTTATCGAAATCATTAAGCAATTTTGATAATTATGTGAAGTATCCCCTTTCTGTCTTGAAAGGTGATTTGGAAAATTTGCCATCCGGTGTCGACGTTGTTCGTAAAGAAATGCATCTTACTTTTGATAATTTCATTGCAATTTTTAAAATGGAACCAGACGAATTTGTAAAACTTCCTACTTGGAAAAAACAAAGACTAAAACAATCGGCAGGACTTTTTTGAAATGTGCTTTAATAATACAGTTTTGTATCATAGTAATTATAATACGAAAATAAAATAAAACCATATTATTTATATTTAAACGTTTGAAATTAAAAAAAAAAACATAGAACTTTAAAATTTAAGTGTAATTAAATCTTTATTTATTACAAATTCATGTATATATCCAAATGAAAAGTTTAAAACTGTTTAATATATATATTTTAAGATGAAGTATCCATTGGCTCTGTTTCAAGTCTACGTACAGTTTCTCCTTCGATGATTATAGGATGTACCATTTTGTTAAGCACAGCGGTAGTACCGCGTTTATATCGGTACGATATATTGCGCTGTCCCTTAACATTAGCAACATCATAAGGACGCAAATAATCAACAGAACCTTTACGTATGACACATAAATCTACATTAGAACCAGAAGCCAAGTCATTAAATACACCAGCGCGAATAGCATCTGCAACCAATTCTTTAGCCTCCTCTTCCTACAAACATTTAAATATGAAATATAATACATAATAGAATAATATGTAAAAATATTAATATCCTAAAAATGTTAAAATCCCTACTGTCATATCAGGTTTCCATCTACTTTCGAATACAGCCATTGCAGCTAATGATCCTGTACCCATACTGGTATAAAGATGACGATCCGAAGATCCATGAGGATAAATACAATATAAATGTGGTCCATCTAAATCAACACCTCCTAATATTAAGGCTGCTCCAATGTTGCCTTGATAACGGAATAATAACTGTTTGATCATAGCATTTGCAGTACAGACTGGCACTATGCGGTTAGTATTTAAACGATGTAACTCCAATTGACTAGATATCATCTGAGTTGTCATTTCAGTATCAGCAGCAGTTCCAGCACCACAACAACTTAAAAATAATTATTCAATTACTTTATTCATTATTAAATTAGAATATCAATTAATATTACGCTATATTAAATAATTAAAGGTTAATTTTTTAAAAAGTACTCACTATATATTTTCTGTAAGATAATGAATCTTACTACAATTTTTATCAGCAACTATGGTATTTTCAGTTGATCTTGTATCACCACCAAGAACAACTCCATCTTTATAAACAACTCCAGCAATTGTTGTTCCTGTTTTAACAGCTTTGGGAGCTTGAAATCCTTTCTTTACTAAAAAATTGTTCCTGTAAAAAATATGCCTCTTCATATATTTATAAGAGCGAAATGTTTAATAAGAAAAATAAATAATGTTAAAGAATGACATAGCAATATTAAGTAATAGGTTATACACTACGATATATTACTCTTCCTTTTTATAATTATGTTTGTTACTGACTTTGCTATTTTTAATAATATAATTTTGACGTATTACATTACCGCTGACAAAGATCAAACGAAAATCCTGGTGCAGGAATTTCAGGCACAAGTACCGAAGACATAATTCAAAACTTCTAACTTCACGAAAACGAATACAGTAATGAAAAGAATTTTATAAATGTTACCATTTGCCAGTAGATGGCAGTTTTGTAGAAAGCATGTAGCGACATCTGTTTCTCAACCATCTCGTCGAAGAGTTCATTTTAAATAAATTTACGGCGTCAACTTTGTTAACTCTAAAATAAGAAATTATGTAAAAATCAG